GATATCAAAAGCGGAGACCTGATGATAAACTGTCCCATCCCCAATATCCAAGACAGCAGGCCGTGACAAGGCTCGATGAACTGTGCATCATTAACAGACGTAAGTACTTCAAAAAAATAATCTCTCAATTTTCTCATAACCAATGCAAACCAAAAAAAAAAAAAAAAAAAGATGACTTACACAAAGCTCTTGTTGATTCCATGAACCTGTAAAGTATGAATGAGACATCAATAGGATATCTAATGAGTGGATTTTTTATTCAACTTATCCAAGAACAAGGAAATGGTTCAAATCAAATATGATTTTTGTGGCTTTACAATATTTCATTATATATAAATGTTTTCAACTACTTTTCCTGTGTGCAACTATTATTTCAAAATTGTCAAATTTTAAAGAGCATATTGTATAATACTTATCAATTCCATATAAAGCACATAGTAATGGAGCCCTAGAGCTCACATAATAATCAAAATTTGAAGGGTGGAGCTTGACAGAGTTCAAATTAGAATGTAAATCGTGAGGGTAAAAAATTAAAAAAACAAAAAAATTTAATCTTTAACAGTATTTAAAACGTGGATCATATTAAAGATAACAAGAGAATTTGCATTGAAGGCTTGCTTACCCTTCTTGAATAGGAAACAAATCCCATTCCTCAAATTCAAATCCCTCCTGCAAACATCCATAACGATGTGTATCAGAATATGCAGTAACAAATCATTAAGAACATAAAACCAACTAACCAAGTATGAAATAAAAACCAAATTGCAATTAAATAACAAATAAATCGAGCTATGGAATTAATGGAAAACGTACAGTGTCAGAAGCTGCTTGATCTGCTCTTTCTTCAGGGATAATCCACGTGCCATTTTCAATGGCTCGACATAAGGGGCATCGCATTTCCCCAAAAGAATTAAATGTCGAGCCAATGCAGTCTGATAAGGAAAAATGAAATATGAAACGGATGCTTAGAAAACCAATATTGTATTGACTGACAGAATCTCATGTCAATAATAGAATTCAAATTAGGATCAACAAATACACATGACATAAAATCATATTACGGATGTCACGAAATTCATTTTTTTAAAATTAATTGAGTGATTGCAAAATCTTGTTAATAAATAAGAAAAATATACACTTGATATGATAACTCTCACTCGCCTAATATAAAAAGGTGCTGCAGGTGACATAGAAACTCACCAAGATGGAACTTGTGAGAGCATTGGAGGGTCACAAGAGTTCTTCCACTGTTTGTAGAAAGCTCATCCCAGCAAATGGGGCAATTGTCTAACGAAGAGGACGATGCTGCTGATGTGGCTGCCATGGTATGATGATCTTAGCCGTACTCTGAAAAAGCCTAGATTTTAGAATGGATTGGGAATGGAACAGGGAGAAGGGGATTATAAAGAAAACCTTGAGGCGATGGCCCCTCGCCATTTCTGGAAATGTGGCTGCTGGTTTGGCAGCCAATTCCCGGAGAAGGAAGGTTTTCGTAAACATGGAAACTGTATCCAATATCCCGCGCCTCTCCGGTGTATACCGGGAAGACAATGGATC